ACTTCTATATTAGTAAATTTTTTAAAACAGTTTGTTAATTATTTTACCCATTAGTTAAAAATCACAGAGATTAACTTTATTCAAACAAAAGAATATTCCTAAATTTTAGGATGTCCCGAACTAATTTTTCAATATCAAAATATTTAGACTATTAACGAAATAAAAATATCAGCCACAACCACCAACTGTTATGCAATTTATCTAATATCAGTAATAGATCATTTTGTATATAAAAATTGATATTAAATACCAAACATTTACATACATCCAAAGTCATGTGATGAGGCAATTCAATCTAAGTCTGACATCAAATTTTAATACAAAAACGATTAATTATATCAAAACGTATTAGAAACCGCGCATGACAAATCGCAAAGGCACAACCACTAAACGTCCAAATAGAAGCGCTGCCCGATCAATTTATAATTTTATAGAGAAATAGAATAGCACAAGACTAGCAGAGTAAGAAACCCAAGCACAGAAGGGGGTCGATCGCATTAAGTTGCATCTTTACATCGATTCGAAACAATATTGAGAACTAATGAATCATTTTGACAGTAAACCAAAAATGTTCGCTATTCTATTTTGTAATGCCGAAGTGATTGCTCGTTCGTGGATGGATGGCATTTATCCCAGAGACATCGAAGCGAATAGACAAATACACACAGCGAAACGTCAAATGCTCCATGACATTTGCTAAGCACACATTTCAATTCTCTTTCTTCTGATTTATATTAGGGTTAAGAAAAACGAGTGCTTACTGTAGATGCTGGTGTCACTTATGTCAATGGAGTATCAGAAAAAAAGAAAAAAAGAAGAGACCCTACTACATTACATGAAATCATGGATACACAACAAGCATTACAATTTTTGATTATAGGGTTGCACAAATAGAAAGAAAAAAATATCAGAAAAGAAAAAATGACTACAGAAAGAAGAACTTTGACAGCTTTGTTGTTAGCAACGCCCATCGTGTTAAGCAATTCATTAATATTAATAACGTTTCAACGCTGACTTCGATGCTTTACTGGGACGTTTGGAACCAATTCTGCGTGCTCTATAGAAAATGCTGTCGCCGTTAAGTTTTGTTAGAGAACACAGAATTGCGGTCATATAAGCAATGGTTACCTTTCTGCGTGTGTGATTGTGTAGGAATTTACAGACTTGCACGTGATGTACGTGACTCTTCTTAACCCTTCTTCGCCAATTGTTGGTATGCTTTTTTGTACGTATTTCGCATGTGCCCCGTGGGTATTTTCACGCTGTCATATTTTCTTTTCATCCGCCACTTTGTGGTGATTTTCTTTTATTTGAAGACATTTTATTACTTTATTGATGGCTTCTTATCAAAAAGTGGTAATGATGGATTGTTTGTTTCATAATCGAGATATATCATCAGTTAATGTGAAATTAAATTTTTATTTTTTATTTTTATTTTTTGTTTACTTTGCAGTTATGTTTTTTTTTCTACCTTAGAAATATATTTTTATTTATCTGAGATTGCTCTGCTGATAAAGCGTAAAATCTTTGGGGAATTAAATTTGTTGCTTTTTCATGCTCTTTCGTTAGACTTATCAAAAAATTTGGGTGTGTCAAATGTCTTGGGAAAATTTTTTGATATTGATGTGTTTAATGATTTGTTTAAAGGGTTAAATCAGAAAAACGAACAAATTACGATTATGCAAACATTTGATTTAAAATCAACCCGAACTTTCTTTAAATTTTAAATTAAAATTTTTGTTAGAATACTAATGTAAAAAAAATTTGCATTAGCAATTTCTAGAGACGTTTCAAACAGTAATGAATCACAACAACAAAAATTTTTTGATATTTAAATTGAGTGAATTTTGACTATTGTCAAATACCTATCATCAGTGGTATTGGAGTTATTATTTGAGACTGCAAGTATAAAGTGATGAACTTTTACCCCATCAAAATTATAAATTGGTCCACTGACTGATCAAAGCCGAACTTGACTTGTATATTCAAACTTGGAGTTCTTTCACATTAAAAGTAAAAATAGTGATTCCAAATTAAACAGTCCTATTTTTATAGTCTATCTTAAAATCTATCTTCTAATAAACTTAGTCAGGTTTCAAAATATTAATAGTATACCAAACAAAATAAAATACTTCAATTAATCTGAAGTTCTAGAATCGATTTTTATAAAATCAAACCTTTTTTTGAGAAAGGTTTTCAGTAACTATTTAGACGACACACTGATTACTTTACAGTAAGCCAAGTTACTTCGGGCTCGTGCCACTGCAGTATTTTACAAGCTTGAATAGCTACAATTACAAAGAATATGATGTGTCACCAGCAGTTTTATATCATTATTAAGAATTTTTAACTGTCTTCCTTTAAACAAACATAATTTAAAACATTTTATTTATATGCCTACAAATCAAAATAATAAAGGCTTACTACATATGTATACCTCAACAAGATAACCTAGAAAGTTTCCATATACGTTTAGTAAATATTAATTGATAGATATTGCTAGTGTTACGGAAGGAATGAACATTGAAGATCAAGAACTACGAAAAATATTCAATCATATCCGATATCAACACTATCATAATAGCTGCCAGGTCGTTTCGTTTAAGAGAACGAAACGATCTCTTAAACATTGATCTCAATGTTGTTATTCTGGACGAAGATCTATAAATTGATTACAATTTATAGAGAGAGAGAACTGTCGCTTGGCTTGTAGTCTTTAATAAACACTTATAAGGTGAGGAACGCATTACACATCCTTTTTATCATGCTAACTCCACTTGTAGGAATATGCCACCATCGAAACATCACTATACTCCAAAACAGTTCGACTAGTTCTCTGTCAGAATTACAGTTTTGCTTAAACGAAAAATCTCTGTCGTTATTTCCAGCCTAATTTAATATCCTTACAATCTCACAATCTTTGCCCTATACAGTTCACTCTCCGGTTTCTGTTAAAATATCGGTTATATTTACTTTAACTTGTTTACGTCAACTTGGTATCTTCTTTCTTTCAATATATTTGTGCTGACTGTTCAATATTGATATCAACACTCCATCTTAAACGTTGATTTGATCTACCTGTATTCAGTTATCTTCATTGCAGCATGACTGTCTTCAAAGGTAGGGAAAGCAAAGTCAATAGATACAAATTACATTCTTGTACCATTTACAGTTGGCTAGTATAGCAGCAATTCTGATCATTTGAGAGAGTTAAAGTATCTAATAAAGAAAATTGACTGCTTGAAGGAACGTACTTCTTGTGATATATAAAAACTGAGGCTTAGAACATTCTATGGTTTAAACTTTAAAGATATGTCTGTTTATGAAACGTCAGTTGAGTACAGCTTTTACAATATTTTAATAACTCAACCAAATTTTTTTTCTTAAAACATCCTTTATTGGATCTAAATAGCACAATCTTAACTATGTGTTAATTTCTTACTATTGTTAAAGTATACTTAATAGATATTTAGTGAGATGTGTGCGGGTTTATTGAACCAATGTTCAGCTGCTATCAAAATAATTTGTAACATAATACATATTATCTATATTAACTCATGAGGTTCTGTTCGCTTTAGAACTTAACTAAATGCCAAATTTCGAATTGCAAATATAGTTTATGAAGTCTCCAGATTCCAACAAAAAATTCAAATATGTTTAGTATCCGTCCAATATTATTAACCGTCCAGTTTTGTGTTTTGACTTAATGATTTTTTTTTATTTTCGTAGTAATTTATTTATATTAAACAGAAACTCATCAAAAACTACATAAATTTCCCAACTAAATCCCAATCGGCACCTTTCTAACTACTTTAAACTTTTAACAAGAAAATGGGAAAAAATAAGTTAGAAGCAAAGAAATGCAATTTTAGTTCCCTAAGAAGCAGCACGTCTAATACGATTTTTATGGGTGCAAAGCAGTAATGATGCAACTACTGGTATCCGCAACTGCTTTTTTAATGCTTCCATTCTGAGTGCATTAAATATTCCTGAAAATGCATATTAAATGTAAACCAACAACAACAAACGCAACAACAACAATACTGGCAATATTAATAGAGTACGTGAACATGTTGAGTTACAGGTGCCCTGAGGAGTAACTGCTTAAGCCATGCTAAGCCACAACCACAAGCAATCCTCCGCATCCAAATGCAATGCACGCGTATTTCGTAGATTTAACGACCCAAGAGCAACAGTGGTTAGCTTTTCCATATTTTGGGTTTTCTTCCTTTTTATTCGGAATGATGAAAAATTTATTCATCAGTTTAATTTTTGCAAAATTTTATTTAGTAATTTTTTCGTTTATTTTTTTTTTTCGTTTACTGTTTACAAAAGAAATACAATTTTCAAGAACTTTGCGAAAAAAGGAGTTAAATAAAAAATTTCAAAGTTTTCATAGCTTTTTGATTAGTTTACCAAAAGTTGGGTTTTTTCTTCAATTTTCATTGCTTATTTTTTTCTTCATTAACTTTTCCACCATTGGGAAGTCAATTTAAATTAAAATTTCCAAATAACAAACAACCAGTATGAAGTATAGGAAAAGTTAATAATAATAAAATCACCAAACTCAGCTCCATTTAACCTCAAAGGGAAAGGGTCCTGGTGGCTGTCGTAGTGGTATGGGTTAAGGTAAGTCGGACAGGTAAAGTTAAATTGCAGCTATTAAAGTGTTTTATATAAAATTCATCATCTTCAGAATACGACACGGTGTTAAAACACTTAATGAGCAGCAGCCACTCAGCACTCGGAACAGTCAACACTGAATAAGCAGCGCTTGGAGAAAGTTCTCCAAGTAACTTCACTTCATAATAGAGTTGATGTAATTTTTTACAGCAAGGATTACTGAATTTTGCAAACACAATCCG